TACGTTTGTGCTTGCCCTTTTTCACCATTCTCTCTCTCTCCCTCTCTCTCTCCTACTTTATTCATGATTTCAACTCTTTCTTTTTATTAACTCTAACATAATACAATCTAATCAAAATTCATAAATTTTGAATAATAAATGAGCTAGGAAAGAGAATTGAAAAGGGTTATCATCAAGTTCTAATAGGAAAAGAGAGAGACAGAAAGAGAGAGAAGGCGGAAGAAAGGCAAAGGATGTACGTGAACGGCGAAACGTAAATTGAAATCTATTAAAAATACCAAAGTCACAATGCATTTAGTAATTTCAATTATATTTCCTATTTTGTATCGCACAAAACCGAATGGCAATAGCGCGCCTATTCTCAATAGAACTCACTCGATTCGATTGATTTGCCTAATTAAATTGTTTATTGATGAATAGGCGGTTTTAAGTACAAAAGGCGCAGTAAATCACTGTTTTATCGTCCGCTTCTCTAGGGGACCGCCTACAACATTGCCTCTAATTATAGCTTTTCAATACGAGGCGTCTCGCAAGCTTTGATTTCAGTTGACGTTTTCAATTAGTCAATGCAGGAGTCAAAGTCACGAAAAGACAAAAAATAATAAAAATCCGTCTATTATTTTCCGTAAAGCATCTTTAGATAAGAATTTTTTTCTTCCTCGTTTATTCATTCATTCATTCATTCATTCATTCATTCTTCCTTTTTTCTTTCTTTATTTCCCTTCTTTATTTCTGAAAGAGATTTCCATCAGTTCCTCTACATCTCTCCTGCTTTGCTAATGGAATAATTAGATGTAATTTTCAACGTAAATTAATAAACTTGAGAAAATTGTCGGTGTAAATGGAGGCAGGTAGCCAGTCACCAGTAGAGTTCGAAATACAGAAAGAAAGAGATACAGACAGAGATAGAAAGAGAATAGGTGGAGCAGGGTATAGGTATGACAGAAAGGAGGATAAAGATATATATATATATATATATACATTTATATACTGCGAATGTGTGTATATGTGTATGCATATGTGTAACTAAAGTAAATATATACAGTGGCAGAGGCAGAGACAGACAGAGAGAGAGAGGGAGAGAGAGAGAAGAAAGAAGGAAGAATAAAAAGAGAGTTCAATACAATTAGTAGGAATAATATGGTCATAAGATTACGTATAAAAAAAGATTACCCAACGAAATAAGGGGTTAAAAGGAGGGGAGGGGGTTGGAAATGCATAAATAAATATTGCATAAACTGTGAACTAAGTACTATACCGTATGTAAGAATGCAAAATAGCTGAAAATTGTATAAAATAACGAATATCAAATAAATTAAATGTTTATTATTCAACATTTATGTTATATTTATTTTAGACAAGTGATAAAAGTTTGATCTCGCTTAACCAATGCAATTACTGATTGAAGCTCTTAGGAGTATAGTTATATATAGCATACAAGAAATATATGTATATAAATTTATATATATATAATATATATATTTATATATATGTAAGGATCATATACTTTACATTAGTGTGTAGAGCTCTTTACAAATAATGCACTGCGGAACCGTTGAGACTTTTAAAAGAAAATACCAACATTTAGATGATATAAATGGAAAACAATAACCTTCTATGGTAGAGTGTATGATGGGTTCAATTAGCTGTGTGGAAAAGAGGATACGTAAAGAATGAAAGAGAAAAGAAAAGAAAGAGAGAAAGAGAAAGAGAGAGAGAGAGGGGGAAAGAGAAAAGTCTCATTATTGGTGAAAAATCGAATAGTGGAGACGCCTTTGAATCGTTCGTTAAACATATAAAGTAATCTCAGATGGCACTCAATTGTTACATACGCCTTATTATCCCCTGCTGTTTTTTTGTAGAAGCGACTAATTTTTCTGCTTATGCATCGTGTTACATACATATGTCACTCATTTTCTCCAATTAACTTTACATTAACGCCTTCCCTTCAAACACCTTCTTCTTTCAGCAAAGATTTTGCATCGATTACTTACCGACGTGTAATCTTAAACTTTCTCATTATCATAGTATTGTTCGCTATCTATTATTTAAGGACAAAGACCCCTTGTTATCTACTGCAATATTCTATATAGACATTGAACGGAACGACTTAAATTTGAAAAAAAAGAAAAGGTTAAAGGATAATATATAAAAGAATACAATCATAGCTCATAGGCGATGCTAATAATTATCGACGTTACACCTACTGCAAAGTTGTATTAGGATTAATAATATTTACCTATTCAAAACGCGTAATTTGAATAGGACGAATTCAATTGCCTGTGACTAAAATGGTGAATTAATGCTTTATTGCATCTTTCTTGCATCAATACACATGTATAATATGGCTCAATCATTTATTGTAAAGGTTTGTGCATGGGATATTATTTATATTACAATACATGTATTGTTTGTCTATATATGTAGATATAGTCGATAAATGGCTTGTGAATAAATGTAATGGAATTGTTATTTGACAGGTTTTATGCTTTGTGCGAAGAAGAATAATACAGATAAATATATTTTGTTATATATGCGAATAAATGCGCGGATAAGTATCTTTCTTTACATTAATACAACTGCTAAACAGTATCATCGTCATCGTCATTATCATCAACAGCAACAAAAATAACACAACAAAAACAAAGCACATTGAATTATCCTAACCAAGAGTAACCCATATTTTCAAATAATCTCATCTTTTGGTTGTTTTATACGTCATTTATCGGCTTAAGAAGATCAAAGGAACGTAGATTGATGATTACTAATTCGGTAGAGAACGGCCTCTCCTTATTCTTCTCTGTCTCTGTCTCCCAATCTCTCGCTCTCTCTCTCTGTCTCTTCCTCTTCTTCTCCTTCTATTAATCTACGTTGTCGAACTTTACCTTGGCTTAGTATATGTTATTCTTTGATAGTTTTCCCATTTTTTTTGCTGTATCTACCTTCACCTTATTTTTTTTTACCTTTTTTTCACTCGTTATATTATCTATGAGAAGAAAAAATTACTTTACTCTAACCCGAAATGTCGCCTTCAAAATGACGAGCAATGGATTTTCCATTCCCCTTCTCCCATTATCAAAACGCTCACTTAATAGAAGATTGGAGAAATCCTTTTAAGTAAAAAGTCGTTTCAACATACTTTGAAAGAAATATATAAAGATGGCGTCTAAGAAATAAACGCATACGCTGCCTTTTCAGGCAATCATGTCTCCTATAATGACCATCAGTGATTGGCAGTCTGATTGACTTTCCGTCCAGTTTTATTCATTTACTTACTGTCTGATAGATTTTCGAGGGCCCTTTCTGTCCTTCGTGCATTCAATATGAAAAAAAGCGACAAAAAGTACACTTTCTAAAAGAGAATACATGCACTCTAAAGATGAGTAGATGGAGAAGAGGAAAAGGAGCGGGAAGCGAAAGGGAAGCGGGATAGGTGAACGATGAGAAGTGTAAACGAAGTGTAAAAGAAATCAGGGAGAAGTAGATAAATTGTAATTGTAGTAAAATGAATTGAATGGAAGAAATCGAAAGAAAAAAGGGGATAGAGAAGAGATATAAGATGAAAGAGAGAGAAAATAAATGAGACAAAACAAAACAAAAGAGAAAAATAAAGTAGCATGTGCGAAGAAAAGCCTCTTGAATTTTCGTTCAACTGCGCTTTATTATTTTACGTTCAAACAGAAAGAGTTGAACTTAATTACAAAGGCAATCGGACCGCAACAAATTGCTGTCTCTCAAAATGAAATTTCGAGCGCTTTATGCGAACAAAGCTATTTTTTCTTCGACTTAAAAGAAGAGAAAACTGTCTTGAAGAGCAAGTATCGCCTGAAGCTGCCCGTAACAACACTGTAGCCTTTTCTAGCAATAAAATATCGCCATTAGCACTTCTAATGCTCTCCTCTTCCTCTTCTTCCATCTGCCTCGACCTCATTTGCATAATTTCTTGAATGTTCGTTACGCAAACAATCAAATTTTACGCTTGTAAACGTTTTCAAGTTTATTATCTTGTTAGTTGGAATTAATTCATATTTCTATGTTTTCGTTAGTTAAGAGAGAAAATCGAATAAAGTAAAATGGCGATAGGAAATATAACAATTTCACTTCTTTTACTTTATAATAAAAGTGTCAAAGAAAATTGTTTTTCATTGACATTTGCAAAGTTTAGGGTCCCTTTTTCCTCTTTATCTACATTCTTGTTTTCTTCCTCTTTTTTCTACAACTTTTTCTTCTTCAAATTTTTCCCTCTTGTCAGTCTATTTCCTTCTCCCAGTACATCTATTTACACATATATACATATACATATACATATATATATATATATATATATATGCACAAATTTACATGTACATATGTATAAATAATATCTCATCTCTCTCTCTCGCTCTCTCTCATTCCTTCAGGTTTCTTCAGTCATACTTGTTTTCTTCTTCTTCTTCTTCTTCTCCTTAATATACCTTATATCTTGCTTATATCCTTTCTTTATTCCATCATTTTTTTGTGTGTTTAGAAAGAAAGAGAAAAAACAGAAACTAAATGATAATTGAAAAAAGAAGAAGAATGCCTTCACCGCACCTCTCTTGTTTTCTTTCTTCAACTCATCATTTCTTGTTGTTTTCTTGTGTTTTCTCTATTTTTAAAAGAAAAAAAGGTGTACGCATATCTAGACGGAGAGAAAATGGAGGGACAGAGAAACAGAAAGAGAGATAGCTGGACGGAGCGATAAAAAAGAGAGATAAAGTTGAAAACGCAAAAAAGCAGAAAAGATAACAAGATAAAAAATGAAAAGAAATAGTTTTTATTAAAATTTTTATAGTTAAATTAATCAATTAAATAATTAATTAATTAAAGTTTAACTATTAGAAAAGAAAAAGAAATTATAGGCCTAAAAGAAGTAACGAAATAGATAAGAATAATGTTGGGCCGTAGCCGGAATTAGGGGAATGAGAGTGAATTGCAAAGAAGCTCAACGAAGCGCGAAATGACGACAAATTAACAGCATTCGACGCTATTTGCTTGTGGAAGAGACGTCTATAGACGCTTTAGACGGTCAATCGCTGCCGTACTAGAGGTCAGCTAAGAATTCTTTGATTATCTTCTTACTCGCGCAATTACTACTTTTCTGTTGATTGAAAACGTGTTTTTGTCGGAGAACGACGGTAAAACCGAAAAAAATTTTCTATTTCGGATACAATACTGATACGACAGCTAAATGAAGGAGATTAGCGGCGATTAATTAGATCTTAATTACTTTTTATGCATCAACAGTTAGGTGGAAGGAGTTTTTAATTCTTCGTTAGGCAAACCTGGTGGTGGTATGTAACCAGGGTGAGGTCTTGTAATGGGCGGCGGAGGGCTACCTTCCTTCACAGCTGGACTCTTCGGGGGGGAATAGTGATGAAGATTACCGTATTGTTGATGTAGAGCGGCAACTGCTGCGGCGGAGAAAGGTGGAAGAGAGCTAAAATGAGGATACGAATTGAGTAACGATGGCGGAGGAGGTAGAAAGTCGTGGGAACGTTCTAGGAACTTTGGATCCAGAAAAGGCAAAGGCGGCATCAGTGAACGATCCGAAGATGCTGAGATTGCTCTGAGTGTATCAGCAGCGGGGGAAGAGCCGAGAAGGAAAGGAGGAGGCGCCGGTGGTAAAGGTCCCAATCCTGGATGTCCAGCCAACATTGGCAATGGGAAAGGATACTTGGCAGTTTTCAAAAGAGATTTTGTCTTTCTTCTTGGCCTGTATTTATAATCTGGATGCTCTTTCATATGCAGAGCCCGTAAACGTTTTGCTTCGTCAATAAATGGCCTTTTTTGCTCCTCTGTCAAAAGTTTCCATTCCGCACCCAAACGCTTTGAAATTTCCGAATTGTGCATTTTTGGATTTTCTTGCGCCATTTTACGCCGTTGTCCTCTAGACCAGACCATAAAAGCATTCATAGGTCTCTTTACGTGATCCTGGCCAGAATTCGGCACAGCGAACATATTTGGTGACAATCGCTCGTCATCAACTCGACAAACATCTACACTCGGTTCCATGCTGAGGAAAAGTGACGCCGTAACTGAATAGACGCTCCGCCTTGCAGGCCCCGCCTTACAGGGGGCGTCATAAACACATCGCCTTTTCATCGCCGCTTTACAAAGCGTCCGTTTCGAGTAACGGGAGGCGACAAAGTAACATTTTTCTCGGGTTCGATACGAGGCGTAGAAGCGTTACAAAAGCCTTTCATTCACCGCCCTCCTCTTTTACCGTCTAGAAAAAGGGCTTCGGCAACAAAAGGGACTGTTTAATCATATTATACTTACTTCTTTCACCTCTCATTCGCTTTATTAATATAACATCCTTTCTTCACCAACAATGTTTCCATTCTTTACCTATCCACATTGCGCTCTTCTATTAGGATTATTAAACACTGATATTGTACAGGTTGTTTGTATAGTTTGGCAAACGTTTTAAACACTTATCGTTTTATGTAAAAAAAGGAAAGAATAATGAAAAAAACAGAGAGGGCTATCTTATCTTCCTATCTATCCTTTTCTATATTTACAGTATACCTTTTTTGATACTAAGACTGCTTATTTAAGAGGGTCTTTTTTTCTATTTCTAGTATAATGAGAGTGATGATGGCGTGATGGGTAGGATATGTGTCGTGCGAACAAAGTCACGATACGGTCATTAATAGTCTGACTAGTTAGCTGTAATTGTCGACGGTTTTTAACAGACTTCCGCCACTTTTCGTGTATAAGGAGGCCGCTATTAATTGTTTGTCTCCTTAATTGGCGACGTGTCAAGTTCAACTTCTACTATCACGTGTTTTTTCACCCTTCTTATAAATTGTTTGTAATTGGGGGCGGAGTAATCAGTGGGTGGCCCGGGTATTGTCATACTCTCTTTTCCCCCAACACTCTTCCAAGAGAAAAGGAAGAGATTCTGGCTAATTATAAAAGGTGTTAATAATTTTTCGTATACACTTAAGCCCTGATAAAATCCTGCAGTACCTGCAAAAATGAATAAATGAATAAACAAATGAATAAATAGATAAATAAAGTAAATATCCAACCTTAACCTAAATAGAGTAAAGCTGGTAAATAAACGAATATCTATTAATATATGTATATACTTATATATATATATAGGTTATATATGTAGTATTTATATTTATTAGATAAGTATAATCAAGTATATGAATATGAATTTATTTACACAAGTTAACTGGGTTTTTTCTTGCCATTTTATTCTTTATTGGCGTTTTTTCTAAAAGAAAAAAGTTCATATACAAAGTCTTTTATAGGTAGGCCTCGTCATCATTTTCTTATAGTCTACTTATAGTATTTAATAGCTTATTTACTATGTTTAGTATATAATAAAATTAAGTATTAAAAAAAAGCGCCATTTTCATATTAATATTCATAAAAACCCGGTTTTCAAACTAAACTATGCGTGTTTCATTGACAGTATAAAAACCATAAGAGCGTTTCTTTGCTTTTTATGACACGTAAGGCCATCTATCTGTTGTTAAAGTTGACTTTTACAGTAAGAGTATTATTTTACTCTCTTTTCTCTTTAATTTCCTCTCTCTCTGTATATATATATATATACATATATGTATCACTCTTTTATGCCTTTGTTGTCTTTTGATGAGTTAAACAAAAAGACACAATATATTGTAAAACTATTTCAAACAAGGGACATCTACAGGAATATCCTAGCTCCATCTATGGTAGAAGAAGAGTTGAAGAGTTTTTCCTTTCTCTCTACGATAGAAGGCCGAAGGGAAACATATCGATAAAAAGACCCATCTATCGGATATAAAACAAAACAAAACAAGGTTTTATGGCAAATAGATATACAGTATTTGAATTATGAAATAAATTAAAAATATTATGTTGTATATAAATCTAATTTATTAAAAGAAACAGAAACTGGAAACTTTATTTATACACGTTTTTACAATAAAAAATATGTTTTTTTTATTTATATTATTCAAATTCTATTCTTGATTTAATGCCAAATAGAATAGATATTTAGTATTACATTACATTGATGAATTAACAAAACTACGATAGAATTATAAGATCAGTCGAAGAAGGAGGAAGAGGAGGAGGAGGAGGAGGAGGCAAACTAAATCAAGAGATTTTAATGACATAATAAATAATCTAATTTAAAAATAAATGAAAAGATGGATGAGAAACAAAAATAGCAATTAAAGTAATATATTATATATATATACAGTATTATGTATTATGAAGAAACAACTACAAATATCTTGCATTATGCAAAGGAACGAAGAAGTAATAATGGTCATATTTTATTTGATAATAGATAATAAGGAGAAATACAGTGATACTAATTATAACGTTGTATAATCGATAAATTGCAGTCTAAATTTATTTAGTCCATATACAGTATATCAAAATAGAAAATTCAGAATAAAATGCTTTAGCTCTCTATTAAAAAACTATAGTCTCTTAATGCTATATACCGTGATATACAGTTTATACATTATAATACGGGTAACAGGCTAGTGGAACAGAAAAAAAGATAATAGCTATTTAATAGGTGTGTATAATACAGAAAAAAAAAGAGAAAAAGTTGGCATGAAGCTACGTTTCCTATTGATAATGTAAAAGACAAGTGTTGATGTGATGAGAATATAATTATGCACGCCGTAAAACTGCAAAACATGATCAAATTAACTTCAGAATTATATGCATACTGGAAGAGGACGATTCTTTGTAAAATTTCACAGGCTGTTATTGTGATTAAACTAAAAGGAGTTGTTTTGAAGACTATTAAGTTAATTGTTTATTATTAAATTAATAAAACAGCACATACACCTTATATTTTATAGACAATTATCTAACAAGTATTTACATATACTTGCATACATATATTATATAATATTTACGTTTGTAGAGCCATAGAAGGAAAAGAAAAGTTTTCTCTTTTACTAGTCAGTGTCAAGTTAAACTGCAATGAGACTATTTTCATTTTCATATTACACATATTTACTATCAATCCATGTACGTATATAACATAACAGATATATTAGAAGTTATGTAATAATTATACTCTCTACAGCAAAACGAGTAAATCCTTCTGTTTCTTCTTTCTTTCTAGCTATTTTTGGTTACTAATCTAGATAATTACTTGCGTAAATTTTATTTTTCTTTACATCATTAAGAACTTTTCTACAGTTTGTCTTCCAAGAGTCAACTTTTACTAAAACAATGCAAAATCTGTCTACAGTATGTTTAATGTTTAATTTTTGCCAACAGCCTTCGAATTCTTAGACGGATTCCCTTTTTCTATTTTTAGCCTCCTTTTATTGTTTTTATTTTTGTTTATTTATTTAAGAGAAGACGTTACAAAGATTTCTTTAAGAAAGTAAATTTTAAGGTTTCTTTTATTTTTTTTATTCTCCTTTATAAAGTAAAATAGGATTTTGCAAACGAAAGAGCAAAACAACGAGTTATTTTATCGAGAAAATTAAAGACTTTTTCCCAGTTCATACATATAAGAAGAAGAAGAAGAAGAGAGAGAGATGGATACACTTCGAATACACTCCCAATGCATTGTTCTAATAAGGAAGATGCGAAATAATAAATACTTCTGAACAATGAAAAATTTATTGACGTTGATAGATTTTATAAAGGAAAATAATATAAAGAAAAAAGTTGACTAATGCGAATTTCTTATTACTTCAACGTAAATATTCCATTTAGATAATACAAAAGTATCAAACACTCCTTTCTAAACCTCTAGTTTTTATCTGCTTTTTTTTTGACAATGACTGTATACCTTATATTATATAAACTCTCTCTTTTCCCATACTTTTTACAGAGAAAACTTTTTACCTATCCAAAGTCATTTAAATAAATTTTTCTTATTCATCAAAAATCTATCTCTCTCTCTCTCTCCTCTTCGCTTCCTACTTTTATTTACCTTTGTGTTATTTTTAAGGAAAGCGATTATTGGAACAAATACTGATAAGACAACCAGTGAAGAAAGGTTAAAGGTTAGAGGGAGAAGAGAGAGATTCTTACTTTTATTAAATTATATAGATTGAAGTAAAACTTATTAAAAAACGATAGAGAATAGAAAAAGCTTTTATTCTTTCGTTTTCAACAATTTTAGAAAGCTATTTTGATTTTATTGTTGTACTCTTTTTTATGACTCAGCGTTTATATAACATTTAATGATTCTAGTCGCACTTGACTGAGAAATGTTAAGTGCTTTTGATATGTACTCCTATTTGGTAGCAGGGTGTTATGTAATCCTATTATCACCCAGCGGCATCAGATGATATCTGTTTACCTTCGACTATTCACAAAAGCTAGAGAGATAGAAATAAGAAAATATAAAAAACAGGCAAAGAAATACGAGATTAAAAAAGTACAAAACAAAAAAATCCTGATAATTCTATTTATCAATCAAATTTGATTTTGATTGGCAATCGTTTTGGTCTATTTTTAACGATTTCCCGGAGCCCAAGGCAAAAATGATATTTATGTAGAGAATAAGACAAATAAACAAACTGTCTACTAGTAGAGAGTACAGCTGAAAAGAGGCGAGGGAGTAGGATTAGGTGAAGGATGATGATGATGATGATGATGATGAGGATGATGACGTTTGAGAGGAAACAAATGAAGAGGCAAAATAGGCAATAAACGCAGAAATAGTAATTAGTATTCGAGTACATATTTTAATGAAGATATATCTCATATATATATATATAGTTTATTTTTAAACATTAAAACTGAATTTCATTAAAGGAAAGAAGGATAAAAGAGAACAACTAGACATTTGAAATAGCACCATACTATAATCAGTATATAGCTAAATATGTATTTTTGTATTTCGTGTATTAAATTGTATATAGTTATGTCTTTCTATTGTATTAAAAAGGTAAACAATAACAAAAAGAAAGCATTCACATAGTAGATTCTAGTATGAATTTAATATATTTATACATATACAGTATATACAGTATATATGTTTATACAAGTTAATAACACTATAAATTACCTACATGCTGTGCATTATTTTCCCCATACTAAAACGTTATGACTGCTATGGATGTTATTGTGATTTAATTAAATATATCATTACTAATAGAATAATCTTTATACGTATTTATTCAATGGAA